GGAGCATTGGGCCCCTGTTTGACAAAGGAACAAACGAAAGGCGTATGAACTAAGCAATCAGTCACCGGCTCCCAATGGGCGCGATTCCCTGAATTCGCTCCGCTGCCTTGCGGGCAGGCTATTCAGCCAAAGGCTCGGGGTGGTGTCCCTTAAGTCAACACCCTACTTCGGCTTGGGCAACCGGGTAGTATCTCGCCCTCTGAGGAAACCATGGACATTGTTGTGTTGTGTTTTCCTTTACTATTTCTGTACCTTCGTTTGAATCCCATGGTTTCTGATGGCATTATGTCTATTCGTAGACCTTTGCATATATATATATATATATATATATATATAGAGAGAGAGAGAGAGAGAGAGAGAGAGGTCAAATCCTGTTTTCATGTCGGTGTGGATCACATGGTGTATATCACGTGGTGTGTGATTAGGCTCTGCCATGTACATCAGACGAAGAGTACAGTTCCACAGACTTGAATGTTTCGGGAAGGTGGTAAGCGGACCTAACATCCTGCGAGGTTCAGCTTGGTCTAGTACAGGCGTTTTAACCTCGTAATCTTTCACATAACTGTTTATTTATCCGACTCCCCAGGTACGGTACGACCATGACGACGGGTTTTGGCAGAGCCTAACGGATAAACTTCTCGAGGTGAGTGAGGACGGACTGAAAGTGAGGTAAATCACCCCTCTTGGAAAGAACGTTGATCTGCAAAATCCACCAATGAAAAGCATCTTGTAAGAAGTCCTCGAACATTTCGATACTACTTTTATTTATATTTCATTTATCTATTTATTTAAGTCAAACCGAAGTTGATCTTCTCCCTCTCAATTAGACTGAAAGGCTGGAAGACCTGCTTCCGGCGGATTGAGAACGGCTCATCATTGAACTGAAGAGAGGAAGTGATGGTGGGGAAACAAATCCCCGTTCGTTCCCAAGGCTCCACGAATCAGGATAAACATGTTGCTCACACTTTGCACACGCCTGATGGTTCCTGCTGCGGCCTACTTGTGGACTGTACGAACTTTACAGCTTATGATGAACAAACGATATGAACCATGTCGTTTCCTTAGATCTAAGCGGCCAGACGTAGTGGGACTAACAGAGACGTGGCTGAACTCTGAGGTGATAAGCCCAGGAAATCGAACTCAGTGGCTACTCTTACTACAGCTGCGATAGACTATCGATTGCCAGCGGTGGCGTCTTGCTCTATGTCGCAGAACGGTCCTTCAGGGACACACGATTTATTCGGCAAAGCGAGCTCAGTGTCACAAGCATGTAGAAACGTCGATGTAAATAACTCAGTTATTTCCATAACTAATGACGCTGCTGCATTCATGAGATTCTTCCTTTAAATCAGTTAACCAAAGCCACTCCAGCGAACCAATGAGCACGTGGACGAAATATGCGTAGCTATCCAATCAACTGCTCTGATCGATTGCAGCATGCTGGCCGCTTGCTTCGCCATGTAAATCGTATCGTCCTTCTGCTTGCACAAATCCATCAGACTCTACATCCCGTCTTCTCTGTTTGGGAGAGTACTGTGCGCCTACAGAAGCGATGATGACCTGTGTGAGAAGCTGTGCGCTTCGATTCACCTCAGGCGCGGAGAGCTGCTCATGAGTGCATTTTATCGCAGTCCCCTCGGCTGTCGTTTGAATTGGCTGCAGCATCTCCAAAACCACATTAGTCGTTCCAGTTTTCTACTCATGGTTTACTTCGATTGTTCTCTAATATGCTGACTTGAAGTTCAACTCATGCCAGGCCACTGTGAGATCGAATCAAAGTACGCGGACTTAGTACCTGGAACAATGGTTTTATAAGGTGAAAAATATCTAGTGTTTAACAGGTCCGTAGGATGGTTATGGTAAGACTTCAAAATACCTGAAAGTGGAGCAGTGCGACACATGCCAATCAACAACAATAACGTCACACTCAACTCCATCAGACATAGGCTTGATGTTAACAGTCCCTACTTTCCGGAATTGAGCATGCATCGGTGTGTATGTACCGAGTACGACGTGCATCGTGCTTACTGAATCTGATAGTCGAGTTTGCACTCTTGCAGTGCTGCGTTAACTATGCGCCAACCTTCACAGTACCAAACTTTCTGTTGCCTATCGGCCATCATCTCACCTCTCGTGACTGAATTGTTCAGCAGGTCACTATCCGAAAGTTCATTGTCGCGCGACTGGATGTGCTCAGTGGTAGAACGGCTTTTGAACTTCGGTGAGCCCAGCAAAGTGGACAACTACAAGTCGGTTTGTCTGACACCTATTTTAACCAAGGCTGCCGATTAGATCTTGAAAAAGGCTGCCCCAGTCAAAAATCCACTGACACCCACACACCATGATTTTATGCTAGACCACCCATGCATTATCAACCTGTTGGTGACGTGGCATGGATGGTTGAGGGCAGTGAACCAGGGGAAGTCTGTCAAGGTAATCTACATCGATTGCAGTAAAGCGTTCGACAATGTAAACCATTGGGTCCTCTTCCACAAGATGAGAGGGTACGGTGCTGCTGCATCACTGCTTCAGTTATTTCATGCTTTTGTTGTTCGTAGAGAGCAGAGGGTATAGATGGACGGCCATCTAACTGACTGGCATTCCTCTACAAGTAACCTATTCCAAGCCTTGGTGCTTGGGGCCACTCTGATCCTAATCCACATTAACGATCTATCTCAGCTTCTTCGATCGCCGCATGCCCTTTTTGTGGACGGCCTGAAAATTTCGGGTGGTTAGCACCCGAGGTGACTGCGGATTAATTCAGCAACACCTGAACCGCCTCTTCATGTGGTCTGCGGAAGTCTGCATCCCGGTCAGTCTAGGCAAGCTAGTATTCATGAGGCTGGGAAGTGTGGTGACGGCCAACCGCTACATCCCACACCTTCTGTAATGGATCTAGGTGGGCTCTCGCGTTGCGATTTAAAGTTCATACACAACATGAACAGGCTATATCGTAACGGACTACTCATGCTTTATGCGCTCCAACACATACTGTACTTGCTCTGAAGAGATCACCACGCCTCTTTTCTTCTATCCCAAAATCAATACCGGAGTACGGTTCGCCTGACTACTGTCCAATCACCCGAGACGAGGAACAAAAGATTGAATGGGTCCAATATGTCGCTATCATGTTCATTCTTGGTATAGGAGAGGCACTGTAGAAAAGACCGGCGCGAGAAAGTAGGACTCTAACACTTGTCCTATCGTCGGGTGTGAATCAATCGCATCACGACCTACTACAAATTACACGTCGGTGCTTTTCCCATGTTGAAGCAGCTGCTTTACTTACGAACGCCATGCCCCACACGCGATTATCGGTACTAGCTTGTATTGCCGGATGTAAAAAGAGTACCCCACGTCATGTGCTCCGAACGGGAAGTGGTAAGCGTTTGAAACAGCCTGCTAGAACAAGTCTTGGAGGCCAAATCCGTGCAGCAGTTCAAAGCGTTATCGATTGGCATTTCACCACCATTCGCTTCAGAGAACGATCGCACACCAACAAAGACATATTACCTTCGTGATCCCAGTGAAACTGTAAGTCAGACATTTTAAAATGTTGCATAAGCAATGGAAGGACGACTAGATTATCACGGGTGGTAGATATATTTTCATACCATTTTTGATTTTCTTACCAAGGAATTGTACAGATTTAAATTTCTACTTGCTCCCTTAGTACATTCTCCATTCGAGGCAATTGATGTAGATTGCGGTGTACTCCAAGAAGGTATTAGATCTAGTGAGGTCAGGTGGTTCAGTGTAGGAAACGTCGCGTTGTTCAGCTACCTTATAGACATGACTACATGTATTGGTTTGGGGTACACAGATTGCAGACCAGCCTCCGTGAACGTGACGTTGTGGTGATCTTGCAGAGTGATCTCAACTGTTCAAACAGTCTAAGGCAGTTGCAAAAAGAGACAAGCAGCACGTCGGTTGGTTGCGGAGGCCATTCGGGTTTTGACTGATCAATCTTGCGGAGGATGCACAATTCTTGTGTGCGCCCTCACGTTGAATACGCCATCCAAGGTTGACAACCTTGACTAAAGCGCAACCTAGAGGTGTTAGAGGCACAACAATGCAGGGCAACAATGAATATCAAGGGTCTACGCAGTTACTTACAAGCAAAGGCCGAAGTTACCAGGAGTTTCCAGCGGACGCTACCGAAACTGACGCGGTCATCTCATATTAGTGACCCGAACACATATTCCACCATTTGCTGTAACGTAGCCACAACACCTGAAACTGAGTGACCCTTACAGTTGTCTAGCGTCAACAGAATTTCTTTTCTCTTCGGGCTTGCCAATTCTGAAACTCTCTTGCAAACTCAGTTGCCTCTTCCTCTATTTTAGATATTATCAAACAAACAATTGGATGTTGCTCTTAGCTCCCAGCACTTCGTTATATAAGCTGCGCTACTGTGGATTACATTAATAATGCTCTTCTACCGGATTTAGGTATCACATGTACCCAGGGAAAAGGTACATCTGTGGGAGGCCAAATTTTTTAGTTTTCTCACACTACTTCAACTGTCCCCGCGCCCCATGTTGTTCTGTCTGTCTGGATTCACTTGTTATGCTACGCTATGACTATTTATCAACGCATTTAACTCGGTAAGTGCTTGAACAAATGACCCACATATCTTCTGTGGGACTTGGTAAGCACGTGATTGTTAACCCGTGATAAATTAATGTTCATTATACGCTGTTTACGCTGCACCCGCACTTTCTGTTGCGAGTCTGAAATGGGAAAGCAAGTCGTTTGGGTGTAGTCCACGACGAGGCAAGTGTTCCCATCTGTGCGTCAGCATCACATATCGATTGCTATCGTAGGTTATTGTGACCTACTTTACATCACTGGATCACCCATATCTGTATCGATTAGAAAAGGATTCGAAAAGCAGTTCCTCCTTAAAATCTGTCTCAATTGAGGTACTCACACGATCTGTGGCATAATTTTACCGAGTAGCCCTAGAGGTGCTAACCGCGTTGATATTCAAAACTCACCGTCGTCCTGACCTAAAGTGGTTTTTCCATCCGCCTTCTTAACAGGACGAGGCTGTCCCGCGATTGGAAGTTGAGGACGCTCCCAGTCGATGAAGAACACATCCGCCGTAGTTTGCACAGCAAGCAAATGCACCAAGTCAACAGTCTTGAGCGCGAAAGCAGAAGCAATGTATGCCACCAGAAATTGATCACTGTTCGGTAAAGTGACGACGAACACATTTTGCATCTGAAGAAACATTGGGGTAATTGAATTGCTTTCTTAAGTCACGTAATATGGAATTATTCGCATTGTCACAGAAGCTGTCGTTGCCAATAGAGAGCAGCAAGTAGAGGGTTAGGAAGCTATAGCCACTTCAAATAATAGATCTGAAGCATTTCATTATCTGACTATAAAGCATGAGCAAACCGAGTGCAGGTGACATGTTTAGTGACACGTCCTGGAGTACGTAATAAAACACAAACTGCGCTTCATGATTTTGTATATGGATATGGATGATTCTCCTTCTACTGAAAGAAACCTCTAGATACTTGCTTAACTAATGTTGTAAAATGGGGGCTAATTGAAGCGTACGGTAATGACATACCTCGGTGCTATCATTTACATGGTCTCATTCAACGTCATCACAACTTAATTGATCATCGATATCTCGTATTGGGCGTGAGCCGTTTTGTTCATTGGCAGCACTGCAATCACCAGTACGTTGGCCCTTGGACGGAATGCAGGATGTTTTACATTTCTGGGTAGCATTAAAAAAGTCAATTTTCGCTCTGTAGCAAGCAGGTACTGACAGTTCTTTCGTATCGAATACGTTGTTGGACCAAGAATGTGGGCACATGGAGTACAGATCTGGACACCGATAACACAATAGGTTATGTGTGCCTTATGGAAAAGCGTACTGCTTCATCTTCACACCGATGTAAGGTATGACGAGCCCCATGTCGAATAGCAATCACACAACATCTCAGTTGCACTGCTACTAGGGCTAATTACTTCACAGAATCAATGTATGAATCGCAACAACAGCATGTGAATGGTCATTTTGAATTGCATGTTGTGTGAGTGGATTGCGATATGTAATCTCAAACTTGACCGCGATTCCCATTGAAGTGAAGCTTGGTAATTCGATCAGAAAAACCGTAACTGAAGCGAGCATCACCCAATTTCTATCAGCATGTAAAGGGCCTGCTTGCTGAACCTCGGAGACAAAGAGAGGAGCAGTCAACACAAGCTAAACTGTGACGGAGTAATTTGTAAGCACTAGGGGATATATTGGGTATTTGTGAAGCTTCATCGCAGTTAAACTCAGACAGTCAGCCACCACACCTCCAAGAAAGTGATAGATGGCCGTTTCGTCCTATTGGGCCTAGTCAGTAGCGCGCACCAGCCAAATTCTACCGGATTCGAACCCACGGCCTCGCTCTTGTGAGCCAGCGCCTTATGTCATTGAACCATGGGCGACGACATCGGACCGCAATGATTTCGATCTAACTGCGATATAGCGCGGTTCATCCTCAACTGTCATGCATGTTATGAACATGCAGCGGACAGGGCTGGCCCCAGAGTCATGGCTTCCTAAGCAAGCCGCCACCAATCGAGATGGTATGTAAGCTGTAAAGGCGACTACTCATTAGTTGTAAGTATTAAGGGGACTTATTTGATATTTTGTGAAGATTCGTCGCCTTAGCAGTTTACATGCCACCTCGATTGGTGGCGGCTTGCAAAGGAACTCGTGGCTCTGAGGGCCAGTCCTGTACTCCGCACGTTTAGAACATGTAAGGCAGTGGAGGGTGAGCCGCGCTATACGGCATTTATTTATCAGTCGTGGCGGTCAGCCGCCGTCGCCCATGGCTCAGTGACATAAGTCACTGGCTCGCAAATGTAAGGTCATGGGTTGGAATCCGGTAGAATTTGGCTGGTGCGCCCTACTGACTAGTCCCAGTAGGACTAACCGGCCGTCTAGCACTTTCCTGGATGTGTGGTAGCTGTCTGCCTGAATCTTACTGCGATGTATCTTCCCAAGATATGCGATGGAGTAAATTTGCGCAGGAGGATGGCATGCGATGGGCAGTGATAAATAACGGCTGCCTCTCAATTACCCATGTGATGATTGACACCTTACGTCGTGGATTGACAAAGAAGTCAACTAGATCGAATATGCTCGGCTAAATACTGCGCAAACCCGATCCCTACTTACAGAGAAGAGCTTTAGGTTGGTGGTGTGTACGCGGGAGAGGGGAGTAATCATTGGTCAGACGGAGGAAACAGTAATATCTCTCCAATCTACTCGACGATGCAGATCCATCTTAATCACTATGGAAAGATCCATTGTCTCGCCCTACGCTTGGCCCTAGACATTATGGGACATGGCACTCAGTCGACGGTAATGGTCTAATTAAACCTGCGAACTGCTGGACTGCTTTAAGGATGGGGATGATCATGATGCAGAGTAAAAAAAGACGTAAGGAAACTACCTACAGGTGCCGAAGTATCTCCGGATGAGAACCACATGTCTGTAACCATTTGGTGTTGACACAATGTAAGCGCCTCCGTAACAAGTGTTTACTAATATACTCAGGTTTTATTTCAAGTTCAAGTTTCTCTGCCTTTCTTGTTCCTCGTTAGTAGAAGCATGCCCTAGACAATGGCGGCATTCAATGGAAGGACGAGTGCATCATATTGATGCGTGACGACCGACGATAAGGTTGTTGTGGTGTGTTACGCCGAAGAACCTATATTCACTGAAGTACGAGTGCATTCCGAAACGAGGCACGTTGGAAGGGTATAACGGTAAGGGAGACAAGTTTTTTTTACAATATTCTTGTAGCACCAGTATGGTAATTAGTGTTGGTAGGGAAATATTCAAGCTTTTGTTCATCTGCCTCGTTATTACGAGTTGGGATCCTAAATGGGCGGAGAACAACCTGAATTCTCATTGGCAGTAGGTAAGAAGTCAAGTCAGATCAAAATAAGCTTTGTGAACATTATTGAGTTAATTTTCGGCATTTACACCACCAATGCGGACAAGTTGGATGATAATACCAATAAATATATTTGGGAGGAAATGCAAAATATACACAACTGTCACTGCAACAGCCACTCGAGCAGTATGTTTTTGACTTTTACTGGGTCAACAGGCAAACGTGCTAAATAAGGCACGGCAGTATCACGATATGATAAGGTACGAGAAAAAGTTTGAACTCGGAACGCGTAGAAGAATACTGATTACTGAAAACTGAACTTAGAGAGTGAGAAGATATAAGTCTATATTGCTCCGTCCTAGTTAAATCGGTCACCTGCATGGAATCACTTCTGTGATCCTGCGCGATGGCAGCAAATTACAGCTGCACTACATCTTATCCGAGTGCGATACGCTCCCTATACCTGTAATCCGCAAAGTATGCGTCGAGAATTATCTTACATTCTGACATCGATTTCGCCTCGACCATTGTCGCCGACAACGTGTCCCAATATTTCACTACTTGACGCTCGAAGCATAGAGGGTGAGCGTTGTGCTTTACATCCGATACCACTAGTTTGTACCGGTCTCCGCGTGTGCTGCTGGGAGCGCGAACGTGCAACAGCGGCCTCAGCATGGGGAAGTGGCCCAGTCGCAATATACAGTACGCCATTATGATATCAACTCGAAGCCGACGATATGACTGTGTATACAGCCCTAGTCCTCATACAATGTACACCGTAAACTGGGGATGAGCCGTGTAGTTACATGCTGAACCCGTTCCACTCTCTGAACTTCAGCTATTATGAGGCGGGTGAGACGTACTGAAGCGTTTTTGAAACCTGCCTTTTGCAGCTCATCGGTTTAGGGAACGTCTTTACGAATACGGACAGTCAAGACACTCGCTGTAAATGGAGTTTAATATGATTATCTGAAGCTGTGCTGTGCTTTGTCGCTTTGACCTGGCAGATATTTTCAAATAAATGAACACTGGACTTGTCGTTCACCGGCTAAGTTCCCACTGCGGGGCGGGAATTTCCGTTACTTTGACGCCAGCTCGTTCGTGAAACAAGGTATCTAGAAAGCTTGTAATCTTCAGCCGTATCTTTTTACCGGGTGAAGGAGGTGTACATTTTTGCTCACTTATGAATCCTGAAATGCTGAACCTTCGATGCTTTTTGGAAAATCTGTGTGACCCAACCATCCCAGGGCCAATTTTCCAGAAAGTCGCTCGTGTGATTAATATCAGCGAGTTGTGTGGGTTGACGCTAACTACACTGAGCTACCCAGTTCTCCAGCATCTGGTTCACGAACTGCATACAGATAGTTGCCAAAGTCATAATCAGACTCGTAAAAAAGAGATAACCACATAAGCCCGACAGTGTTGCCCCAGTGTGAAAAGAATCTTTCAACGGAAGCGCGTGGTTTGATATCTGAAACGTCCAATATGATCTGACTAATTTTTTACCGAGGTTCACATGATGTTTTTCGAGATAACTAAAAAATATTTTCAGTTTCAGCTGGACTCGAGTGCATATACTTATTTATTTAGCACGATCTATAGTACAGATATTCTGCTGTCGGAATCATGGCGGAATAGAAACACAGGGTCGAAATAATAACAAAAACATGCAACCTATTTTGTCAAGTTTTTTACTCAGCTTTAGCGTTTGTTATTATTATTAATTGCTAGTTTTATTAGGGAAGCGAAGGGAAATCACCGCAATACGTAGTGGTCCCTGTCCGCAAATTAACGTCGTCTTTAAGCCATGACTTCCAGGCTCGCCAACCATCGACACTCGGTAGCGTTGAAATCCCAAACAGGGAGTCGAGAACAACCGACCAAGATCAACTGTTTCGTCAACCATTTTCCTGTCGCGTCTCCAATTCGTAGGCTGTCCACCGCGCCACCTCCTCAAGCCCTGTCCAGCGGCCACGAACAACGCCCGGCGCGGAACGGGATGAACGCTCATGTGCAATAAGTGTCTAAGCAGCTGATGCGGCGGAACGAGCTCCTCGAGCTATTGGCTGCCTCCACTCAGGACACCCTTTCCAACTTGATTACGCGGTGCAGCCACCACACACGGGCAATGGATCACAGGCAACGATGCTCGAAGACAGACAGCCAGCAGAGGCCAACGGTACGAACAGTCCATGTCTCGCATTCGTACAATGGTGAAGTGCGGACAGTCGCAAAATAAACCAGCCATTCCAGGGAGAGACAATGTCATGGCGGCACTTCGAGTACTTCAGTCTGGAGAAACTGAGA